ATAAGGTGGGGCTGCCATGAATTTATTCTTTGAAACGCCAAGTCTTTTGGTCCATGAGAAAGACGTACTATCATCGTACAAGAATATGGATGTAATGCAAGCATAAGGTGGAGCTGCCGTGAATTGATTATTTGAAACACCTAGTCTTTTGGGCCACGAGAAAGATTATCATCGTACAAGAACTTAGGTATCTGAACGAACTCCTAACCGGAAAGATTTTAAATGCGAGAATGTCGATACCTAGCCCTTTGATTTCGGGACTATTGACAGCCATTATATAACAAAAAAGGGACATAAATAGGCCGACATAGTAGTTCGGTTTCATGAACTTTCTCAAGCTGACCACTGGGAGAGATTGTTGTAGCTTATCTTGTGTAGCAAAAACAAAGAAAGTGGAGCGAGTACTTTCTTTTTTTGTTGATGCTTCGCCATACTCTACAGGAGAAAGATCATAAACGATGACACAGTCTGCAACCTTATATTTAACTGGTACGTAGCTGGAAAAATGTTGTAGGAATTTTAACCAACTTTTTGAGGAGTCTTGTGAAGCAACTATTATTGAACATGAACGATAATCAATCCTCCCATGCCTTTTAAAGCATTGTTTCCTTTTTGTTCATGCAACTAGTATATCTAAATCGTTCACTTGACTTCTCTCCTAAGAAAGAGAGAGGAAACAATCTTATGGAATAGATCGACACTAATAATTCCTGGAATATTTTCATGGGTACAAAATTCAGTTTACCCAACTAAAGTGAGCTTCTTTGCGATAAAAAACCTTGCGAGTTACGACTTGTATGAGATTATCTTAGACCTCAACGCAATCTGATAGAATTGAATATGTTCATCAATTATGTACAGTTGCAGGAATCTGGGATGTGATGCAAGCATAAGGTGGGGCTGACATGAATTGATTATTTGAACCACCAAGTCTTTTGGGCCACGAGAAAGATTATCATCGTAGAAGAATTTAGGCATCTTAACGGACTCATAGCCGTCAAGACTTTAAATGCGAGAATATCGCTACCTAACCCTTTGATTTCGGGACCATTGACAGTCATTAGATCATCAAAAGGGACGTGGATAGGCCTGACCACTGGGAGAGATTGTTGTAGCTTATCTTGTGTAGCAAAAGCAAAGAAAGTGGAGCGAGTACTTTCTTTTCTTGTTGATGCTTCGCCATACTCCACAGGAGAAAGATCATAAACGATGACAGTCTGCAGCCCTATATTTAACTGGTAGCTGGAAAAAACTTGTAGGAATTTTAACCGACTTTCGAGGAGTCTTGTGAAGCAACTATTATTGAACATGAACTATAATCAATCCTCTCGTGCCTTTTAAAGCATTGTTTCCTTTTTGTCCATGCAAATTTGTATTATTGAGTTAGTATTATGATACGAACCCAAAGGGATAGTCTCTTAGGGCTTCGTTTTTGGTTTAGTATTCCGTTTTGAGAATTAACAATTTAAGGTTTGAGATCAAAGGTATGGCATCTAGGGATTTCTACTATACTGTTAGGAATAAGGGTTTCAAATCAAAGGTTTTTCTTTTTACTAGATTGTTGTAGGGTTTAAGCTCAGGAATACCAAATAAAACGTTTTGTTTTGATAATTACAGTTCGTTGTTTTAACGGGGTCTGCTTTTGTATGTGGTTTTTATTTGAGAATTTAGGACCTATGTTTTTTTTTTGTCGAAAGTAAATATTTTATTTATATGTCCAGATGATACATGAGAGATTCAAAACAAAGCAAATCTCATATAGTAAAGTAGAACAATAAAGCACAAATTGCCATGATAAGCACACTCACGTCCCACAAAAACGGATTTGTCTTGGCATCAAAATAGAACGAATGGCGGCCGATCATCGAATCTTGCATCGTCATCAATGATGAGCGCACACCGTAATCCCCTTCTCCAACAGCTATGGTTTGCCCAATAGGTGATGCGCGCCGAAGTTCAGCATCCTCAACACTATCACCGTATAGAGACAACAAGGTCCCAGATCTAATTTTAGAATCTACAGTTGGGGCTTGGGTTTTCTCATCGAGGGTTTGTGTACTAGATTGCGATAGGCAAGGTTCTGGTTTTAGGATTAAGGTATTTTGGGGTTGAGAGCATTGCAATTAGATTTTTGCACTAGATTGTTGTTAGCTTTTCAAATTTCGTATTTTATGCTGGAGTTTTAGTAGGGTGGCTAACTTAAAAGGTTTAGGACTAAATGGGTATAAGTGTAATAGGTTTAGGACTTTTTTGGTAATTTCCTCGTATGTTTCGTCACAACACATGCATACTTTTCTAGTTCTTTATGGCCATTCCAATCTTTAGGTTTTTTTATGTTTTACTTTTGGGTTAATACTACGAAAAACCCCAAACTGGTAGACCTGTGACAAGTTTACCCCAAACTAATTTTTTGACCACAAAAAACCTCAAACTGGTACACCTGTAACAATTTTACCCAAAACTAATTATTTGACTACTAAAAACCTTAAACTGGTACACTTGCAACAGATTTACCTTTCGTTAAATTAGATTAATATCACAAAAACCGCAAATTGGTAAATTTATGACAAACAAAGGGTAAAACCCCAAACATATATACTCGTCAACTGCCACGTGTCATTCAACTCAGTAATTTAACGGTTAAATTTAACGAAAATTAACGGAGGGTAAATTTGTCACAAGTGTACCAGTTTGGGGTTTGTGATGGTCAAAATATTAGTTGGGGTAAATTTGTCACAGGTGTACTAGTTTGAGGTTTTTCGTGGTATTAACCTTTTTTCTTTTATTTACTAACAAATTTATTTAGTTAATTTATTTTTCTAATTTGATAAAAAAAAATCTAAGTAACATATTCGATCTCTCATGCTTGGGAGTCTTCCATTTCTCGCGGTTGGGGAGCTCGCACTCGAGACACTTGGCTCGGGACGCTTAAACAGCTCGTGCTCAGGAGTTTGCCATCTCTTGGTTGTCAAGAGAAATTTTGGATGGAGGGTTAAGGGGGGCAGATTTGAGATTCAAGTAAAAGTTAGTTTTTTATGAGACAAAAAAAAGTTTACAGTAGAGTTGAGACTAGACTTAAAGTTGAGAGTTTTTTACGGGCTAAAAAAAGGTTTATGGTAGAATTAAGATTTGATCTAAAGTTGAGGTCTTTTAGGGTATTAGGCTCCAAATCAAATCCCATCCTATCGGGATGTGTTCATATTGTAGTCGGATAATGTTTTATTTTAAGCAGTTAATTGGTGTCTGGGTCAACTTTTTGTACACCTCAATTGGTCCATCTCCCCTAGACAATGTGCTCGGCCTAGTGCATTCAGGATTTATCCATGGAACATTCCGAAAGACTTGAACTCAAGATTACAAAGAGAGGGGCAAACCCTCTTGCCGTCTAGCCCAACACAACTCGTTAGATAGTCAAGTGATGTTCAGTCCACATGCTTACACATAATTCAGACCCAAAAAAAAAAAAAAAGATACTTAGGGTCCGTTTGTTTTGTGGAAAGCATTTTTCCGGAAAACACTTTCCTCATTTTCCGGCGTTTGATTTGCTTAGGAAAATGAGTCAACAAAAAATGTTTTCCTAGTCAACAGAAAATGTTTTCTTACCAAAGCTTAAATTCAGGAAAATGATTTCCCCTTTAAAAGAACCAGAAAACGTTTTCCGAAGTATGACTACTATCGGCGCTTTAACCTGAAACTCTACGCTTAAGCACGAAAACCCCAACGTTGGTTCCCAGGTACCGACATTCAGGACCAGGTCTTGGAGGCCAGGGTTAAGACCTTGGTGTCCAGGGCTCGGGCCCTCAGTGCCCACACCTGGGTCCATCGAGGCTGAACCCGAACCCTTGGTGCCCGTACCCGATGCTCCAGCACCCGAACTCGAGTCCATAAAGGCCGTGCTCAAGTCCTCGATGCTTCGAGATCTAGTCCCAACCCTTCGACCCGAGTCCACAAAGGCCGTGCGCATGTCCTTAGCGCTCGGGCTCGGGTCCTTAATTAATGAAACGTTTGTTCTTATAAAAATATTAAATTAAAAAATCAAAAATTTTATTTATTTATTATTTTTTTAAAAATCATTTATTATTATTTTTAAAAAAATCGAATTATTTAGTATTTATTCTTTTCTTTTCTTTTCTTTTTTCTTTTCTTCCTTTTTCTTTTTCTTCTTCCTCAGGTCGGTTGTCGGCCATGGCAACGGCCGGCGAGCTCGCGGCTCATCAGATCAGGGCTCGCCCGGGCTCGGCCGAGGCGGCAAGCTTGAGCTTGCCTGTGGCCATCACTGGGTGAGCCTCGAGCTCGCCGGTGGCCGTTGCTGGCCGGTCCCAACGGAGGAAAAAGAAAAGGAAAAAAAAAAAAAAAGAAAAGAGAAATTTTTTTAAAAAAAAATAATAAAAAATTCCAATTTTTTCAAGAAAAGAAAAGAAAAAAATGAGAAATAAAAATAAAAAAAAAATCGATTTTTTTAAAAAAAATAAAAAATATTAAAAAACTCGATTTTTTTTGGCCTAAAATAAAGTCATGAGATTGATTTCATTTTCCAATGATATCCAAACATCATAAAACGATTTCAATCGCGTATCACCAAATAAAGGAAAACTAAGCGTATTCTTGGAAAATGATTTTCCGGAAAATATTTTCCTTTATCGTGAAATTTTTCGCGAAACAAACGCACCCTTAAGCGTAATGAACAAAGAGGTTGTGAAGTAGCATCAAAAGGATATTAAACTCCGAGGACAAGGCGGATGAATCACTTAGCACTTCTAGGGCGGGCGGGGGGGGGGCTTCCAACGTGAACAATAGGGAGATTTGGGGGCAGATCTTGCTTTAAAGGTTCACGAATGAAATGCCCACGGATCAATTAAGGAAATTTCCTAATTCTTACCGTGCCGAGCATCCATCCTCGTATGTTTGGAATATTGAATTACTCCAAGTAACACGATAAAAGAGTGGGAACAAGGAAAGCGGCATTTATAAGTGCATACTATCGTCCATCGTCGTCGTCGTCGTCGTTATTCACTCCCCCGCACGACCAGAGACTCCTCCGCCGCTCCTCTTCTTCTTCTTCTTCTCCGTGGCCTCCTCTTCCCTCTCCGCGGCCGCCGACGCCCATCCTCGCTCGCTTCCCATGGTATCCCCTCTCTCTCTCTCTCTCTCTCTCTCTCTCTCTCTCTCTAAGTTCAGTAGACGTTTTGGGTTTCGTTTTCGTCGGAACGCCTTCCAGGATCGAGACGGCGATGGCATCGGTTCGCCTGCGCCCTTTGGCTGTCCGATGTCGGAGTTCGATCTTCTTCTTTTTTTTGTCCGGCGACGACGATTCGTGCTTTGTTTATGATGGTTTCCTATCATTTTTTGCGGTTTTTTTTTTTTTATATTTATTTCGTGAGTTGGAAGTCTGATCTTTTCCGCCGCCGGACGGACGTTCGCATCTCCTTTTCGGCATTTCTTTTTTCGCTTTGAGATCGAGACGAATCTTGCGGACGCGCTCGCCCCGTTGGATTGATTGCTTTGATTTCTTTCCTCGTAGTTTCTTGATTGGGTCCGGTCGGTCGTGAGGGCTTGATCCGGCGAGGGCGGCCCGACGCCCCGTGCCCGGGTCATCGAGGCCGGGCTCCGGACTTCGCCGCCCCGCGTCCAGGTCCTCAGTGCCCGGCCCTGAGTCCATCGAGGCTGTGCTCGGAACTCGGCGGCCATGCCCGGGTGCATTGAGGCTGGGCCTAGGTCCCGGCACATGCGCTCGGGACCATCGAGGCCGGGCCCGGGAAAAAAAAAACCGTTTTCTCTTTCAAATTTTCTTGGTTTATTTGGTATCACGTGTCTTGAATTGGGAAATGGGATCAAACGGTCGGCTTGGCGGAGTATCCCGTGGTTTTGCTCGCTTTACCCCCCCCCCCCCCCCCCCCCCACGCTTGCACGTTCTTTGAAATTATGAGCAAGGATTTCATCATTCTCTTCTTGGCCTCCGCTAGGCGAGTCCGATGTTTCTTTTTATGAATCAATCTTTCAAAATAGTTTTTTCGATCTCTTGGTGTCTGAAGAGCCGTTATGATTTTCGACGCATCGAGTTTTCTCGTGATGGGTATAATTTGGAAATCGAAAATATGTATTCATCAAGTTACGTAGCAAACTGTGTTTATATATCTATACATGGTTTGTCACTTCTTTAGCCATTTTGTCGGATCTCGGCATAAAATTTTGTTCTCGAGTGTTTATCTTGCACGATTTCAATAGACACGACTCGTTAGCGACGAGGAGCTAGTGCCAAATGCCTCGTCTAACGTAGCCACATCGGAAGGTTCAAATTTATTCTATTTCGTTTTTGGCCCCTCGTAATTTGCGGGGGGACAATATTTTATTTAATCGATTACGTCCTGCTTAAGTTAATCATTGTCAATAAATTTAATTTAATGTCACATCGCCGTGCCAAATGGGGACTTTGTAATTTGCGAAGTTGCCAACCGCAACTTTTTCTTTTTTTTTTTGTCGGGGAAGGCTTTCTTGTTTTGTTTTCTTCTCTTTGGACAAGCTTTGACCTGGGGTCCCTCAACTATTCAGAATATGCGACCAGATCCTTTGTTTTTTTTTTATTTAATAATTAAATCCAATTCATACGGATTATATTGGAGACAAGAGTGCATTTATTAGGACTCTTTTTGAATTTTTTTGCGGATCCTGTCCAAATTGCTTTTCAATCCGCTCCTTGTCTCGAACATCATAAAGTCCAGGGCAAAAGAGCAAATTAAATACTCCGGGTTTTGTCTCCAGTCTTCGAGTTTCAAGGTGGGATTACAGCTAATTAGAATATTTTTTTGGGGAACGAAATTAACAATTAGCAATTCTTTTAATTCTAAAAGTTTTGAAGTTTGAATTTGTTCCGACAAGGCTGGCCACGCATCAGCTGGGATGGGATGAAACTCAATTATAAGCTCATGGTTGAAATTATTTCCATTTTAGTCCTTCAATTCAGTATGGTTTGGGTCGGATTGAAAAAAAATTTCTTTATTTCTGCGGTCAGAGTAGAATTTAAAAGAAATTTTTGGTATTTTTTTTTCTCAATATGGGTAATCTCTTGATATTCATGCAAATTGCAATTGCCCGCAGGTCAACCATGGAGATGTCGAGAGGACGGCAGTTCTAACGCCGCCGTTATCGCTCGACGGCGAGTCGCGAGCGGACTACAGGGCTCCTAATCTCCTGCAGCGCATCCTCGGCCTCTTGAGGAACGTGCGGCCCGGATCAGAACTCACCAACTTCCAGGCAAGTCCCACACTCAGATGAACGGCTCAGATCCTCTGTGAAAAAAGGGGGCCCGCATATAATAGAGACTAAAATAAAAAATGATTCCGTCTATCTTAAATAAAATATACGCGCGTTGTTTTCAATAAGATTTTCGTTGTTTATACATTTTAAGTTGTTATACATTTATATATCTGACGCCCCCCAAAAAAATAGGGCATTAACTCATGAAAAACCCAAAACTGATACACCTGTGACAAATTTACCAAAAACTAATTTTTTGATCATAAAAAACTTCAAACTGGTACACTTGTGACAATTTTAACCTTCGTTAGTTTTCGTTAAATTTTATCGTCAAATTGCTGAGTTGGATGACACGTGGCAGTTAACAGGTATACCAGTTTGGAGTTTTACCTCTCCGTTTATCATAGGTGTACCAGTTTGTGATTTTTCGTTATATTAATTCAATTTAACATATGGTAAATTTGTTACAAATGTATTGGTTTGGAGTTTTTCGTGGTATTAACCCAAAACGTACGTTTCATATACACAATTTGATGGGGTTACATCAGATTTATATAGATTAAGTTATGTAGTCTTGATTTCTTATTAGATAATAACACGCAGCAGAGTAATAAAATTCAATTTGAAATGCCATCATTTTTTTGTTTTAGTTTATGGGTTGGATTTCAATATGCAAGTTTTTTCTGTTGATAACGAACTGTGTGATTCTTTTGAACATGTAAAATCATGGTCTCACCAAGTAGAAGATTGCGGAATAGCAGCAGCTCGACGCCGAGACGTTAGAACTCTGTTGTTTTTGTAATTGCCGCAAGTTGTTCTCGGGCTTGCGTACCATCGACATTAGAAGCATCTCTAGAATGGATCTTGCCTGAATGTACATGACTATGGGGCGCTGAACCCTGTTCGAATTACGTATGCAAATGACTGTTTGAGCTTGTATCAAGTCGCTGGATGATTTCGTACAATAATCTCCTTCCGTTTTGAAGTTTTGAAGGCGTCAATGGTATATGATTGTCGCAGGATGTATAGGAATTGTACACTGATGAATTTCGCTAAAACTACAGTTTTAGTCAATTGGGACATTGCATTGTTAATGTTGTGTCATTTTTATCAATTGCAGTTGCCTCCTCTCTTCAACATCCCTAAGTCACAGCTCCAATGTTTCGGCGAGTCGGTGTACAGCACCAGAGAGGATATGTTGAGCAGGTGCTGCAGGGCTGAGAGCCCGCTGGAGAGACTGACTTCAGTCGTGGCGTGGAGCATCTCGACCTTGCGGCCTTTGATCTTTGGCGTCGCCCCTTACAACCCCATTCTGGGCGAGACCCACCATGTCTCCAGGGGAAACCTCAATGTTCTTGTTGAACAGGTGACTCAGTTACTTCTCCAATGTTCATCTAAAGCTGTTTTCGCACAGTTTTACTAGTTGTATGAGGAAAAAACATAGTGCAAAGTCCATCGTTTCGATCAAATTTGTCTTCAATAAATCCATACTTCTCCCGACTAGCATGATAACTTGATGATGTTGCCGCCGACTGATGAGTTGAGCTTCTTCTCTCGCAGGTTTCACATCACCCGCCAGTCTCTGCTCTTCATGCAACAGATGATAGAGAAGAGCTTGAGATGATCTGGTGTCAACATCCTGTCCCTAGATTTTACGGTATGGTGTAATTGATCTTCACTTTCTGCTTCTTGATACTATAAATTGATTTCTGACCTGCTCTTATAATGCTGCTCGAGGCAAATTTATGCCAGACATTTCATCATTCTTTGATTACAGTGCTACCAATTCTTAGACTAAAATAGACTTATGTGATGAACATCATTCTTTGTTAATCTCGGGGTTAAAATACGATTTAGGTACGTCGGTGGAAACAGAGGTGCATGGAAAAAGGCAACTTAAGCTCCTTGGTTTAGGAGAGACTTATGTGATGAACTCGCCGAAGCTCTTGATCAGGTTCTTGCCCGTGCCTGGAGTCGATTGGGTTGGCAATGTCAGGATCACTTGCCAAGAGACGGGCCTTGGAGCTGAGTTGTGTTACCGAGGCCCTTCCTTGATTGGCAGGAACCGTAGATCTATCAAAGGGAAGATTATTGATCTATCATCATCGAAGACATTATATGAAGTCGATGGTCACTGGGATAGTACGGTGACGGTAAAGGACGTCAGCAACGGGAAACAAAAAGTGATATACAATGCCGCGGAGATCATTTCTGGGTTAAAGACTCCTCAAGTTAAAGACTCAAAGGTAATTGAAACCTTACCACCATATCTCTATGCTCAAAACCTGTTTTTAACGACTATTTGAATACTCAGCAGTTAAATGAGCATGCATTGTCATGCTACGTCTTTTGTGATTGCATTTAACATGGATGTTTTCAATTTGTTGTCATACCGGTTTAAGTGCAATTCTCATTGTGTCGAGCAACCTTTATTAGGGTGTTTCGTGGAGCGAATCGGCTATGGTTTGGAGCGAAGTTAGCCGAGGGATTCTGAGCAAAGACTGGGACAAGGCAAGAGAAGCGAAGAGAGCAGTAGAAGAAGAGCAGAGGGAGCTCAAAAAGGAAAGAGATTCGAGAGGACAAACATGGGTTCCGAAGCATTTCACCGTGTCTTGCAACAACGAAAACGGGTGGGATTGCTCGCCTATTGAAAAATTGGTGCCTTCAGCACCTATGCATGTTCCTTTTGATTGCTAGGGTTAGGAACGAGACTGGTTTCTTCACTGTATCGCCTCCAGGTTCATAATTCATGTATATCTCGATGTTCTTACCAGTTAAGGGCCCAAAAATGGCTTTACCGATCATAAATTTGTTCTTCCTGGAATATTTTGGAATACATAAACAGCAAAGCCGCTCCAGAATTCTATGTTAGAAGGCGTTAAAGGACGGAAACGTAATGGCTACATTTTTCCGTATTTCACTTGTTTATGGAAAAGATTTCCTTTGATTGCAACAATGAGATTATCGTCTTAGTTGGACACTTTCTTGAAAGATTGAGTGTGGCTTTGAGCAGTGATTGGCGCACTGTCTTTGCTTATTCAACTCCTTGAACATGTCTCCTGGAACCCTGCGTTATGTGTCCTGATTAAATTATGAAAGGAATTGAGTGCGAGTACAACACTGGAAGGATCCGTATCTGATAATTTCGATATTGTCCATCATTCATAACCATTCAGAGATATTCAGAAACGAATTCTCTTCCTGCAGACCGGGTAAGAAATGCTAGAACCATAGCGAGCTAGCACATCTAATTGTAACGGGAGATTGCCCGACAGTTTTAACTTTATTTTTCCAGTGAACTCAGGCGACAAGAGATTGACTTGCGATGAATTAAGTGACAGAGATGAGCCAACTCCGGCTGAGCAAAATCGAACATGTAGAAGCATGAATCGGTATACACTACCCCAGCTTATTGAGCATGATTACAGTTGACTTGTCTTTTCTCTTACTTGATTTGATTGATACTGGAAACTACAATTACTTCACCATCTCCGAATGTTGCTCCGTCAAATCCGATTCGCTCCTCCTATTGAACGATTTCTCCTTAATCGGGTCCAAATTTGGCCTCCATGACCGGGCCCCACTAGACCTCTGGATTCCAAATTCTGCGAGGTCCGTCTCGGTCTGGAGAGGCCGAAGAGGACTCCTGCTTGGGGAAGAACTGATCCTGCCGGGGCTTGAAGCATAGCTCCTAGCCGGTGAGCTGCACATCGGGCTTGAGACATGAAGCCTCTCCGAGAGACTAGTCCTAGGAGGATCCGTCGTCTTGCGCTGCGCGCGCTTGGCCTGCGCATTGAGCTTGCCAACCAGAATGGCCAGGTTCACTGGGGAGACATCGGCTTGGAGGGCCGAGTAGGGCAAGAGGAAATAGAGGTTGCCCGGCTCGAGGACCTCGTTGGGCTTCAGAAGCTTGGACTTGGAGCTTGTCGTGGTGGAGAGAAGCTGTGAAGCTGTGCAGAGGAAGTGCTTGCTGGGGAGCTTGTTGCCATTGCCAGTGACTTGGCTCACTGTGACAGGAGGCTCAAAGTACTCCAAGCAGCCATTCAGATGGACCACACGTACATAATTCATCAACACTTCAGTTGATGATTTCCTAGAGCAACATCCACCCATCTCTCTCTCTCTCTCTCTCTCTCTCTCTCTCTGTGAGTTAATTGAAGATTAGAGATCAGAGGGAGACTGAGGTCGCTAAGCTGTGTTAGTGTGTGTATATATACACATGTTTGGTTGGTGCGAGGACAAAAGACACTGACTAGAAGACTTGAGGTCTTCCCTTTTCGTTGCCGTGTTCTCCACTTTCTTCGTGGTTATCCTTGGATTTTCTGACTGGGGACCGCTCCATGCTTGACTGAGTAAAGATTCCAAGGAAGTCGAGAGTGATCAGAGTGGAAAAAATTGGCAACTCTTGATCGTCTGTCTCCTTCTTGGACCGGAGTGACAGTGACCACGACTGAGATTGCCGTGCCCGTGGGGTTTAGATTAAGGTCGCCTCTTTGCAAATTGCGGTGTGAGGAGAAGAATTTGGTTTTGAAAAAAGCAAGGCAGATGAGAAGAAGATGATAAGACAAGACTTGGTCATGGAATTTGAAGATTCAAACCGTGCAATTGGGAAAAGTTTATGGGTCACTTTCATAAGAGTCCATCCGACTCCTGCCAATGGCCAAATGACTACAAAATTAGAGGGTCCACGATGGCGATCAGAGATGGTCCTATAGTGCCTTCTTGGGAATTTTTCATTTTGGATGATTTTCAGAAACACTAGGGAGGGAATCGGTCCCGGCGGACCTAACGCTAGAGGGCTAATGACCGCCCTGTCGTGAACCGAGGCCCCTAGCCTACCATGTTTTTTAAAATTGTTTTGAGAATCGTAAGTATTTTAAAAAATCCAGTATCATATGTATGGTTGTAAGGACGAAAAAAACCATGTCTAAAAATTCCACATAATAACCTTGCTTCATCATTTTAAAAATAATTGTGCACAATAACTCGTTATTTCAAGATTCTTGCTTATTTGACAAGTCATCTTACATAATTTCGAAAACACCAAAGACACCTGGCAGCCGAATTCGTGCATGGATTGTCAATTGAGATTTTCACTAGATTATGTCTTTGGAAAAACCAAAATTGCATTCGTAACTTTAGAAGTTACTTAGAAATTCAATGACTTAATTGAAAAATGTTGTACCGAAACGTTGTCAGGGGAGTGCTAACCCTTCCCCACATGTAATAGAACCCCCTGGACCTTAGTTCTTTAGTTTTCTCGCGCGATGACTAGTACCTTCACACATGCACCTAGTCTCCAATCATCCTAGACCTTTAAAAAATTGATCGATGGCAATTCCATTGATTTGCTATTATTCCTATAATAGATTTTTGATTCTTGGTTTTTCTCTCCGTACTGCTTTACCTTTACTATCTTTCTGGGGCCCCGGTCCGGAAGCTCTACAGACTTTTTGAAGCATGTCGCCACGAGTTGAACTTTGCTTGTGTACCTAAATTTTTTCTCAAAGGTCATTTTGGTGTATTTTCGACAAATATGGAAACTTTGTTTTCCTCCCAAAAATATTTATCAAGGTCACATTCTTGCATTTTTAGATTAATAATTCCCAAGAAAATTGGAATCAGTTCTCTCGAAATATATTTTGGAACCTAAAAAGAAGAAAAATATCATCATTGTTCATTTAACATATAAGGGATGATTGGATCAAGGTGGGTAGTTCCTAGTTTTTGGAACCTGGAACTCACCTTATTTGCCTTGGAATCGACCTTGGCACCTACCCTGTTTTTCTGGTCCGATTCTAGGGACTACTCGAGAACCTGTTTTTCTTTTATTACTTTTTTGGTTTCATTTTTTATAGCAAAGTAATATGAACAACAAAACGATTCAAAGTAAAAGATGAACGAAGGCGAGCAAGTAAAGGTGAGTTAGGAATGAGCGAGGGTGAGTTGAGAGCGAGCGAGGAGGATGGTGAGTCACGAGCGAGCGAGAGAGAGAGAGTCGTGAAGTGTTTGAGTGAGGTTGGAGATAACAGAGAAAAAGAGAGATAAAGAAAAAGATACCAAGAGATTATCTAGGGTTTTTAGCCTTTATGAAACCGGTTTCAAATTTAGTCGGTCAGTCTGGTTCCTGGGTGGTTCTTCAGTTCGAATCAGGATTTGGACTGGTTCTAGTGGGAACCTAGAACTAGACCGGTTTTTAGGGCGGTCCGGTTTGATTCCCAAGTAGAACCGGTCCAATTGCACAGCCCTACAACATATTAATTATGTATATTTTTTCCCTTTTTTCCATCATTTTCACATGCATATATAATTTGTTAAAATGTGTTTTGAGTTTGAGTTCATCGGATAAAACCCGAAGTGAAGTGGTGTACGATCACGTAAAAGGAATAAATGGTTCTTGTCGTGGAAATTGAAAAAGAAAAAAAAAGGAAAGATGGGCATATAATTTTTTTTGGCACTGGAGTTGGTCAAAGAAAAAGAAAGAAAAATCAAAAGAGGAAAGTTGGGTTGACCGAATATTTTTTTTCTCCTCTTTGGTCAGATTGTCCAAGTGTTGGTGCAGAGAAAGAATAAAAAACCTCTAATGACAAGTCTAGACATATTAGTCTAATACATGAGTACGTGAGATAATTAATTCAGAATAGTATCATAACAATTGTCTACGTGAGGTCAAACAAGAATGTAACTGATCTTTTTACAAAGGCTAAGGCTTTACCAAGAGATGTTGTAAATATGACATCAAGAGAAATGGGCCTGAAACCCTTTAACTAAATTCACCAGTGATAGTAACCTGACATAATACTAGTAAATCACTTGTTATAAGCTTTAATGGGTAAAAACAAATTACTGAAAGTCATTGTTTGATACTGACATTAGCCCGGATATGAGAAGTCAGTATCTTCTGTTACGTTTTGTAGGTTGAATTAAATTCTTGATGAAATATATTACAAAGTGTTATTAGTAACAGAAACACATGTGAGATACTTTACTTATATGAGCTTAGAAGTGGTGCCGCTTCTTGCGAAAGTTAGGGTTACTTTCTAGAGAGCTTATGAAATAGGTACAAACACAATGCCATAATAGTATTGAGTAAATTAGAACTTCTCACTAAAATAACATGTTGATATATGTGCGATATATCCGATTCTATTATTAAAGTGGCAAGTTTAAAGCATAGCTACTTGAAACTTTTATAGAATTTTGAGGTACTTGCACTAAATAAAGGTTTAACTTGAAATAGACCTTTATATATGTATATTAGTCTCATGGAAATCGTGACCGTATATTTTTAAAGATTTATTTTTGTAATTTTGTTTTACAAACAAAGTGGGGGTGTGTTGATAGTTTGTTTCAAACAAACTAAGAGGTGCATTGTCCCACATCAAAAGGATGTGAGTGCGCACATGGACGAGATTTGGAACTAATCAACGATCATTATTTTTTATTTATTAAATTTCGAATTTATTATTAAAATAATTATTTTATCCTATTCAAATAATGTGATTGTTCGCAATAGAGTGACGGTTATTTTTAATAATTTAATTTGGAATTTATTATTTCCGCATAACGGTTATTATGCGCTCTTACAACCTTCGGAAGGTTTTATCTATTCAAATATAACTTTTTAACCTTTGGAAGGTTGTTTTTGTTCTGACATAACTTCTTCATCTTTGAAAGGTTGTATCCGTTCAAATTTATTTATTCAACATTTTTATTCAATACTTTGAACTCCCAATTTCATTTTCTTTCTAGAGATCCTGGAGAAGTACTAAAATTGCTATTTGGTATTCTAATTCGAGACTTTGTTGTATCTTAAATGATTTTTGCTGGTAACCATTAACAACGGTGTGGGGCAAATAATTCCTTAAAGAGAGTATTATCGTGCCTCAAAGTTTGACTTCGTTGTTTTTCCCGATTCGCTTGATATTTCCCCAACAATATGATATATCAAGATAG